GGAATAGCCCCCCCCCTCCGAAACATCTACGAAACACAGAAAATGCTCGTCGACAAGGAAGAAATACAGAGAATCTGATCACGTTTTGCGATAAAGCCCTTTGTTTGTGATTGGTAGCTTTTTGGGTGCTCTAGTCTATAAAACCTGCTTGATTGTAAGTTTAGGTTTAAAATGATTTCTGAATGTGAAACACTGATGTTTGACTTCCAAGGCCTTGGAAGAGGCGACAGCATTAAAACGTAGGGCGAATGAATTGTTAGCACATCTTGGCTGAGGCTACAGGAGTAAATCAAGAAGGCCTCATCAAAGGCGTCGAGCATGGATGCTATGCAAGTACAGTCCTCATCATTACGTACTGTCGGGGCGGCACAGCCGCGCTCCAGTGTGACGCGACAGCAGCTGCGGCTCGGTGACGGTGAATCTACTGATTCGATGGAAGCTGCAAATTCCCACTTTTTCAGCTCTTCAAGCTTCTAAAGTGGAAGGTGAGTTATTCTGACCAATTTGAATTGTACTGACTCTGAATGAATCTGAAAGAATGTAAGCCATTTCGAATAAATGCCTGAAATAAGGCAAAATACAAGGAAAAGAGCATATAATCGACATAAAAATAAAGGAAATCAGAGCCAGTACAATTCAAAATTGTTCAGAATAACTCACCTTCCACTTTAGAAGCTTGAAGAGCTGAAAAAGTGGGAATTTGCAGCCGAATTCCATCGAAATCAGCTGATTCACCGTCACCGAGCCGCAGCCGCTGTCGCGTCACAGTGCAGCGCGGCTGTGCCGCCCCGACAGTCCGTAATGATGAGGACTGTATGTGATTTAGTTTTTGTTTACTGGTTCCGTCTCAAGGCTGTGGATGCGCTAGCTGGGAGGCGGACCTTCGAGTCCATCGTCATTGGTAAGAAGACATTAGGGGCGCGATTCGCCTTGGTGGGAGAATTGTGGTTGTTCTCATCAATCACTACTGTTGCTTCCTGCGAAGGTCTGTAGAATCTGTGAATTCATGGCTGTGGCGTGTGCATTTTTGGCAACGGTCTGCAAGTTTTGCGTGAGACGTGTGATTTAACAGGAACTAGTAAAAGAAATGAGTGAAAGTGCCGAATCCCTGTCTCTCCTCCTAGACCAAATAGCGCCGATTTTAGGTCCCAACGCGCTCAACAAAGTGGATCTCAACTCGACGCCAACATTGTCATAAGCCCGAAAGCTCCGCGTTCTATCCAACGTGGACTGTCCCGAAGGTGTGAAACAACCAGATTCCCCATGATAGACTCACTTTCGGTTGCAGGCCTTTTGTCACATGGCGACTTTTGGTCGACAGGCATGATCAGCTGCGAAGGACGGATATAACAAAGCAAAATCGACCGGATATAACAAAGCAAAATCGACCCCTGCCGTGGTCACTTGCCCCAAAGTCAACACGAAACAGCTTCTGCGAATTGGTTGGACTGTCCTGCAGACAGGACTTATTTAGCCAGCCTCCTATTGATCTCAGATATGGACTGCATTGTTCCAAGGTAGACGGGATAAGGATTACTGTCAAATAACTGCATAACTGTCAGTATGCAAAAGTTGACAATTACACAAGTGTGAAAGTATGAGAAAACGAAGCAAAGAACTATGCACCTTTAGGTTTCACTCTTCGATTGTGCGCAGCAATTTTTAAGAAGAGAGAGAACTCCGTTCCACTTTTTTGAATAGAGGTTTACGATCCCAAAGCTCGTTCACCCGTTGACGTTTCAGGCCATTCCTGGAGCTGACGCGAAACTGACAGGCTGACTCATCAGATTCACATGGCCCGCAGAGCCCTGTTACAAGAAGAGCTCAGATG